GCTTAGAAATGGAGATGAGCACCACACCCCAGAGTCAGACATGACTGGACTTAATGTCAGGGGACTACCTTTACCTTTACCTATATTGCATGTAGGGAGAGCAAACCTACCCCCCCCCCCCCCCCCCCCCCCCGCCATCTGATTCCCATCTGATTTCCTCCTGCTATTCCTTTAGAAAGCACTAAAATCATAAAAGTGCTAAAAATGTTAAGTCACACCTGACCTAATCCTTATCCATCATTTCCACATAAAGTGTAAATTGTTGACTAATTGCTCGCAAGTGTATATTTGCAGCAGAATCACAATGAGTCACACATACATACCTTTTCAAAACACAATTAGGGCTCAATGCGTGTATTTACTATTTATTAAAAATCATTACATCACATCTTTCCTCCCAAAAAGTCAAGTCATGTAACAGCAAGACTAAGACATGGATTCACAGAAGCGGGTATCATGTTTCGTTATGACTGTTGTTTTTTAGCTCCTGGCACTGAATGCCTGCCATTTTTGTTATACTTTGGAAACTGCCCTGAGTTATAGCTGAAGGCGGGCAATTTTCTGCAAGAGGACACATGGAGTGTTTAAAATGGAAAAAATTAAAATATAGATATAGCACTTTTGAAAAGAAATGATATTTATTTTGATGTTACAACCTATTTGAAACACAAATTGCTTCTTTTCCAGAAGATGCAATTTAACCTTCTTGTTTGACCAGAAAGGGAGCAGAAGCCACAATACAACACTGGGGTGAATCCTGATGCCCCAGGACCACATTTTGAACTCATCTGTATGGGATTGGGCCCCATATAGCCCCCAGTCTGGTTCTTATGGCTCTCAACACTTCTGAATACTCTGAGGGCCCTTCCACACAGTCCTATATCCCAGAATATCAAAGCAGAAAATCCCACAATGTCTGCTTTGAACTGGGTTATCTGAGTCCACACAGCCATATATTCCAGTTCAAAGCAGAAAATGTGGGATTTTATTCAGGAAGGGGCCTGAGGGACCCTTTTGTAATGCTCTTCCAATTCCAACGCCCTAATGAAAGCACACCTGAATAATACATGTTTTTAAAATGGTAATGTATCAAGACAATGTATTTTAAAACAGCAGTGTATCAAAACACAGCAAAACAATATAGGACTTTATATTAGATGCTGTATGCAAAGACTCTACTCAGGAAAAACAAATTTTGTCGATGTCCACTGAGTTTTTTTCATAGGCAAAATGCAATTCAAACTGAGTTTCTTGCCAGACAATGACCATGTTCATATCTTGCAGCCAAAAATAGTGTGGTTGTTTTTTTTTAATGTGACTTGTTGCAATACGTGACTTCAACACTGCTAATAAGTTGTGGTTTATTAATTGGCCTCAAAAGACGAACTTAAAACACATGTTGTTGGCTTATGAAGTCTGGCTTGTTTCTTCAAGCTGCTGACTGGAAAAGTTGGAGATGATAAAATGGGCAGGAAAGGATCAAACCAGAACAGAAAGAACAAAATTCCCTTGGTTGTCTTGCTCTGCAGTTCTGATTTAATCATGGCTAACTAACACAAACCATGGTACCTATTTGTAACTGGAGAATACATCTAATATCACCTTTACATTCTGTTTCGCAATAATAAGTAAAGGTAAAGGTTTCCCCTGAAATTAAATGTAGTCATGTCCGACTTTGGGGTGGTGTGCATCTCCATTTCTAAGCTGAAGAGCCGGCATTGTCCGTAGACATCTCCAAGGTCATGTGGCCAGCATGACTGCATAGAGCGCCATTACCTTCCCGCAGAAGAGATAACTATTGATCTACTCACATTTGCATGTTTTCAAATTGCTAGCTTGGCAGAAGCTGGGCCTAACAGCAGAAGCTCACCCTGCTCCCTGAATTCGAAATGCCAACTTTCCAGTCAGCAAGTTCAGCAGCTCAGCGGTTTAACCTGCTGTGCCACCAGGAGCCCATATCACAACAATATTGTAGCAATAATACCTGGCACTAAAAAAATATGAAAACAGCTCAAATACAATTTTAACACTGCCATTAGAAAAGTGAATATGCTGCCAAAAAGCACCCAATAACTCTAACTACCAAATCACATTTAATTCTTCCAATTGCACCTGTTTTGTTATTGGCACCAAAACGTCAGATTGTAAGGTATTGGAAACTAAGCAACAACTTCATCTCAGATTCAGATGAACTTGATTTGATAATTTCCATCTCTATCCAACATTTAAACCAGAACAGTTCCAAAAATGCTCTCAGAAAAACAACTTGATTAACTAATCAAATCTGGAGTTGACAAGAAAAGCATCTGACCACATGAACGAGCACGAGAAACATCAAACAGAAAATAATTGATTTAAGGAAAGATTAGGAAAAGAAGGGCTCCATGGTTAATGCAACAAAATAATTATCTCCTTTTAAACGTCTTAACTACAAGTTACTGTCAGCATAGATCATCCAGATCTCATGGAACGTATCCCTTAAAGCAGAGCTTTCCAAACTGTGCATCACAACACGTTAGCATTTCACCTGCAGTGTGTTGGTGTGTCGCACAAAGGTGTTGATATGAGCCTTCGGCACTGTTTACTTTTAATTCATTCCTTAATCCTACTGTTATTGTAATTTAAAGTCATCTATTTTAGTCACTTATTTTAATCCTTGCTAGTGAATTTAATTTATTTACCTTGAGTACCTTCAGGTTTGTTGTGTGCCCAGATATTTTGTTATTACAATTTAAGTAATGTGTCTGGATCTCTTATAAGGGGATTGGTTTAACTTGACAATAGGTCCTATGGAAAAAAATGTATGTATGCCAGTCAATGCATAGACACATAAAAAAGTTATAGGCACAAATTCCTCGCATGAAAATAAAAGCCGTGCCTCCTTTGTACCTGTACACACCCATACGGGCAAAAACACGCAGTATGCAATGTTAGAAATGAAAGTGCTACACTGTAAACATGTCAATGAATAGCACTTAAAACAAAGTAAGAAGATATTAGGAGTGCTGGAGAAAGTCAAAAGAAACAAATAAAAATGTTCAGGAAAGGTTTCCTACTAATTTTAGTACTTCCGTTCTTAAGAAAGTTTACCTTCCATTTCTGTTTTCTGCATTCTCATTAAACTCCCATTTTGGAATTGTGGTTGTGTGTTTATTTGTTTACTTCTGGTATAAATATGCCAGTACCACTCTAACATAAATATTTTCTGATTGACTTCCAGTAAATGTGTGCAAAAGCAATGTAGATTAAAAACACAGCATCATTAAAAAAAAACCACTTATTACAAGAAGAAACAAAACTCACACTCCCAAATTTAAGGACACAGATGGTTGAATGGAAACGTGTTTTTGGGTGCTAAAAGCACTACAGGGATAATACCAGGGGCATATCTATCAAGTCCAAAAAGATCTTCATTTAATGGTACCGGAGCTTGGAAAAGTTCCTGACGGGTTTTTTTTGTTGGAGTTGTAATCTGAAAAAGGCACTTTTTTTCCTAGCTCTGCATTTCATTCAACACAGACATTCAGACCATGATCTAAAGCAGTGGTTCTCAACCTGTTGGTCCCCAGATGTTTTGGTCTTCAACTCGCAGAAATCCTAACAGCTGGTAAACTGGCTGGGATTTCTGGAAGTTGTAGGCCAAAACACCTGGGCACCCACAGGTTGAGAACCACTGATCTAAAGCTTCAGATAGATGCGTACTGAAAGTTAAAATATTAGACTGCAGTCTGAATACTCAATCATGCTGATCACCAGGAATTAAACATGCATCATGTTTGAGCGTCTTTGTCTGATTCTACATATATGTGAATGGAAGAACAGAATATTTTGCATATTCTACACTGGGGTGTTGTTGATTCCCACCTGCATTTATTTATTTACTTTTAGTACAGTATACTGTGACAGTATGAAAATATTAAATAATCACAAGAGGAAACTGAAGAAACAGCATGCATATAAAACCACAGAAATTCTACAATTGCATTCTGGAATGCCTAGGCATATAACAAAATAATTGCATGGACCCAAATTGGTGCCAGGTGAGGTCCTGGGGCATGTCATTTGACAGATGGAAGACCTCCATGCAAAAACAAGCCCTGTCTCTACACACCATATTTATTTATTTATATATTTATTTATTAACCATATTTATATACCACCTTTCTCAACCCGAAGGCGACTCAAGGCGGTTTACAGTCAGCAATAAATGCCCCTAATAATATAAAATATAATTAAAAACATAAACATATAATATAGACTATATAAAAACAGTAGAAACAATAAGAACAATAAAACACAAGTCCACAGCATGTCATTACTAAAATCATTTTCCCATCGCATCATCCATAAAGTTGACATCAGCTGGTGAAGAAACATGCAACGTCTCAGAAGACAACCACAAATTGAGGACTATGTAGGAAAGGACAGAACTTGAAAAGTTGCCTTTTAAACTACATCTCTCAGAATCCCCCAGTCAGCCTGAGTGACTACTGATTGTGCAGTTGTGGGATTCTGAGAGTTGTTGCCCAAAAAGTAACTTTCCCCAGTTCCAGATTTATTCTGAAAGAGATTAGAAGAGATAGCAAGAAGGTCTGATACCCAGAAGATACTTTTAGTTCAACTGATGGTCATGATGCTGGATTAGGGGAGTGGTATCAAGCCATGCTTAAGGTGCATAAGGTACCCATTCTATAATAGGAATGCTCCCCGTATGACTTGAACAAGTCCACACAGCCTCTTACAATTATTGCATGAGCAATACACTAGTATCATATTATGGCTCTGAGATATTTTTAGCACTTTATTGGAGATCCCATACGGCCCCTTTTTCCTAGTGCTTGGACATTTGCATTATGAACATGCAAAGCACTTTCTTGCTCAGCAGCCAGCGAAATGAAAGTCCATGCAATGCTGTCTCAAACAGAGATTAACTACACAGCAAACCTCCTCTCCCTCAGTAAAGACAGCTGTAAGAACAGGTTAAACCACACAGTACTCACCCTCTTGAGGTAATGAGCCCTGACCAGATCCATGTCGGCTCAAGTCAACGTCCTGGGAGAGAGACAGAAAATTGAAACCCGGCGTTGATAAAACACTTTCCAACCAATTTAGTAAATCCAGAGAGAAAGCGAGGTCGAAGGGAAGCCGAAGGAAAGGACAACCATAGGCAACAGAGAAAATCCACACTGTCTCGAGCAAAGAACTTACTCAGCTCTGTGGGAATCAGAGCGCCTATGTACTCATATGCTCTCTTCCCTGGAGGAGGAGCCAGGATTGCAACATTCATGTTCCTTGCTGCAGGCAAAATAAGGATTTCTTTGCACAATGCGAAATGTCCCAAGACTGACAGCTAGCTTAACAAGGTTAAAAAGGTACAGCTTTCAAAGATGTAGGAATGAAGGCATATAGTTAAGCCCCGGATTTACATTCTTGAGGCGCATGTGTTTACATTCAAGTGGAGGAAGGAAACTTGTTTGTGCTTTTAAAGTCAGCTCAATGTACATTCCCCAAAAAAGGGGAGGGGAGGTTTAGAGAGAAAGCAATGTCCCGGGGCACTTTGGAAAGCTGAATATAATTTATTTTGTGACAGTGAGGGAACTGGGTGCCCTTTGTTATAGACAGGAAAGAAGAAGAAAAGAGATTTCTTTTCTGAAAGAATTTATGGATTTCTTTCTATCAGCAAGAGAAAATACACAACTGTTGACTGCAAAAATATTAGTTATACAGTTAATCTCACCTTTTCCACATTATCCTCTTTCTCTTAATATGAACCTCATGGCAACCCTGTGAGATGTAGCACACCGAGAGAGATTGTGACTAGCCCCAGATCACACCATGAGTTGCATGCTTCCATGGGGATTTGATCCTGAGTCTGAATCCAGCACCAACTTTGGATTTGCACGTATGCAACCCAGATCTTATCTTGTAGCTAAATACTCATTGCAAAAACAAGCGGACATAGGGCAACACCCCTCCATGCAAACTTTGAAAAAGCAGGGCAACAATTATGCCGGCTTTATATATCCTATAACAAATAAAGGTCAGGTCTAAAGCAGATGCATTGTTAGTCCACTCCACCCAACTACTCCATGTGTTATCACGTCTGAAAATGTTTTCTAAACCTGTTCCATATTAGCAATTAATCCTTTGCTGGCCCACCTTTTAAGCTACTTTCGAAATGCCCCAGTTTCTCTCTCCTTCCACTTTTCTCTTTTGTCCTCAGCTTAACATCAACTGCTGCAAAGTAAGTTCAATGAGGGAGGGAGAGAGAAGAGCTAGAAATCTTGCTCTATCTGATAGGATAAGCTGCTTCTGCCTCTTCTAGATTGTGTGATGTTCCTCAATTCACCTTTTGCCATCTTAGAATCATAGAGTTGGAATAGCCCTCATGGGCCTTCCAGTCCAACCCCCTGCCAAGAAGCAGGAAAATCGCATTCAACGCACCCCTGACAGATAGCCATCCAGCCTCTGTTTAAAAGCCTCCAAAGGAGGAGCCTCCACCAAAGACCAGAGAGTTCCACTGCTGAACAGTTGTCACAGTCAGGAAGTTCTTCCTCATGTTAAGGTGGAATCTCCTTTCCTGTAGAAGTTTGAAGCCATTGTTCCACATCCAAACTCTGATATTGCTTGCCCATATATCTCCCAGTTTTAATCTGGGAAATGTAGGTGGTTACTATGGGTTTTGACACAGTCTGAATTAAGAATTTGAGCACGGTTATTGAATGAGTGGAACTATGCACCTTATATGTTTTTAATTTGTATACTGTTTAATGTGTTTTATTGATTAACTGTTTTTACTGTTTATTGTTGGTTTTTACCGGTATTGGATTCTTGCCGGAGCTGTAAGCTGCCTTGAGTCTCCTTGGGTGAGAAATGTGGGGTAAAAATGAAGTACATAAATAATAAATAAATTGTAGCCCCAAACACCTGGGAATCCACAGGTTGAGAACCACTGTACTAGAGAGTGTGATAGTTCTATGGTTAGGGTTCAAATCTCTGCTCGATCAAGGAAACCCACTACGTGGCCTTTGGCAACTCATACTCTCAACTTGAGAGCAGCTACAAAGGAGAGGATATAGAAAGGATTCATGTTGAGAAGTGAAAGGATGGAGTGGTGGAAAGGCTCATCCACCATACTAGATTGACATTTACTTTGATTTTTAATCCTTACACCTTTTTAAAAATTATCAAATAAAATCAGAAGCAATACAAGAAAACCAGGATCTCATATTATCAAAAGCCCCCACCCCAATTAGCAGCAGGGAGTAAACCAACAGAGTAGGTGAGTGGGTTGAGCGCCAAATACCAGAGAGTCCAACGTTCAGAGATAAATCAGAATCTGACAGGAAAAGTCCAAAGGTGAGTCCAGGGATCATGAATATGAGATAATAGGTGTCTTAGGTAGTAGCTTCAAGCAAAGATGTTGCAGCCAGCAAAAAGGGGCCATATTTGAGCTCCTTAAATCCTCAGTTCTCAGGTGTCACCTGTTGCTGCCTTGTTTCTCAGCTAGTCTCAAGGACCTGCACAACTGAGATCCCTTTCTTTGCAAGCCCACAAAAGCTGGAACAGTTAACTCTTCCGCAGCCTGCTCAGAGGAACTTGCTTGCATATATACTGCAGCCTGAGAAAAAGTAGCTACTTCCATGACTACTTCTTCAAAGCTTGGCTGAGGGACCTGCTGGGCATTGCTGGGCTCCAGCTCAAACACTGGCCCTTCAACCTCATCCACTCTTTCCAAGCTGTTTACAACAAATATCTCTCTACATCTACCCAACAGTATTTTCCCTTAAAGACTAACCTTGGCTTTGACATAGGCTTTTGTGAACTACCTCATCATATGTAGAGTTTGGAGGTATTCATAAATATGTGGGGAGAGGGAATGGAAAAAGTATAAACATTACTTTACCTTAAAAGTCATTGATAAATTGGGTAGAAGCACGTATATCCTAGGACAGACAAACTGCTTAGTATTACATTTTGATCAAAAATCAAATACAGGTATTCCTCAATTAATGAAGTAGATATGTTTCTGGGAATTACTTCTTCAACAGAAAGTTTGGTATAGGTTTTGCATCCCTTAACTAGAAGTCCAAAATCTGAAAGAATCCAAAATTGTCCACATCAATGGCTAAGATTGTGACACTTTTGTTTTCTGTCGATTCAGTGCACACAAACTCTATCTCATGTACTAAATTTAAAAATATATAAAATTACATTCAAGCTATGTCTATAACAGTGATGGGCAACCTTTTGAGCTAAGTGTGTCAAAATTCGCCAAAAAATTGACTGGGGTGTCATTTCAAGAAAAAAACCCATAATTTTGCAATATTTATAGTTTAAATAACAAAAATGTATAATTGTAATATATAACCTTATCCTCAGATCCCCTCCCTGATTTTTTACTTTGTCCTATTTCCCAGTGTTTAAAAATTTTATCTTTGAATTTGGCCCTGCCCAGTGTGATCATTTGTGTTTTAATGTTTGATTTTATGCTGCTGTGTCGCTTATTGATATTGGTTTTGCATTTTATGTAATTTATTTTCTCATTTTTTGTTGTGTTTTTGTGTTTATATTGTGTTTACTATATGGATGGGTGTGGCCTTATGTGAGCCACCCTGAGTCCCCTTGAGGAAGATGGAGGCAGGGTATAAATAAATTATTATTATTATTATTATTATTATTATTATTATTATTATTACTGTATTTAATAAACCGAAAACTAATTATTTAGCATACCTGCTTAGTGACTTCTTTGTTCATCTGTCAGTTAGTTTCTTTTGTTGGTCTTGATATTATTTAACTTGTGTGAGGTGCCGTGAACTAAGATAAGGAGAGGGGAATTCTTTAACTAACCTGCCTATTAGTGACTTTTTTGTTGCTGAATTTCAATGGCTAAATCTTCAATTGAAGGTTGGTATTTTGTACACTTCAAGCCCAAGCAAGTGCTACTAACTTCATCTGTCAATCTGTTTCTTTTGTTGGTTTTGATATTATTTAATACTGAGAATAAGCTCTCACAAAAGTAAGTAGAGAGTAAAATTGTGAGTAAAGCCATTGCTATATTTTTCAGGATGCTAAAAGCTACTCCCTGCTCCACCGGCGGGAAGTGAGGTCAAAGATCCCCTAATGGCCTAACCCAGTGGTTCTCAACCTGGGGTCCCCAGATGTTTTTGGCCTACAACTCCCAGAAATCCCAGCCAGTTTACCAGGTGTTAGGATTTCTGGGAGCTGTAGGCCAAAAACATCTGGGGACCCCAGGTTGAGAACCACTGGCCTAACCAGAAGTCCTAGAACTAGATGCTCTGTGTCGGAGTTCTGTTGTTTTGGCCTACAGACCTCTGGCACAGAGTGTCTACACTACACTACAGCAAATGTTTCATCCTTGGCTACTGCACCTGGCCATGACCGAGGATGAAACGTCCTTCTCAACATGTGGTCCCATAGTTCTCTGTATGTGGCCTCATGCATCCACGTGTCATTGAAAATGTCTATGCATGTCAGTGCCGACACACATATCATAGGTTCGCCCTCACGAGTCTATAAAGGACATATTAAACAAAAATGAATTTTGTGTTTTAATTTAGGGCCCATCTCCAAGATAGCTAGTTGTGTAAGTATATGCAAATACATCAGAAATAATTCAAAATCCAAAACACTTGTGATCACAGATAAGGGATACTCAACCTGTGTCAAAAGTGGGTATAACATGAAAAGGATAGGGATAGGTTCCTACATCAAAAAAAGAAGAAGAGCAACTCAGCATGTTTCAACAAATGTATTCAAAACTAGCAGTAGACATGTGTGAAATGAAAACACATGAAAACATCAGTAATGTGTGTGTTTAAAAACCAATTAAACAATCCATAGTGTTAAAACCGTTGTCATAATCTTGCTTCTGTGTTGTAACCAAGCTTCACTTTATAGAGACTGTACTTGGCTCCTTCACCTTGTTTGCGCCTTCTTCCCCCTTGTTTACTTACTGCTTGTTTTAATATTCCTCTCTCCTTGGTAACAGGAAATTATATTTGCTACGTAACTCTGCAAACCACTCT